GTCGAATCTGAATCACTTGAAAAAAACACTGGGGTGCTTAACTTTTTACCAGGTGTATATATATAGACTCCCCAGTGTTTAAATTGTAGATGTGTTTCCATATGTAAGTGTGCAACACACAGCTCTAATTTTTTTATTTACTTAGGTATACTTGTAATAATTTAGTGATCGGTGGTTATTTTACAAACTTTCCAATATAAAATATTACAAACTTTGTATCTTTATTATTAAATAAGGTGTATTTATGGTGTCATTTTAAATAATTTTACTTAAAAATCATTAAATTATTGTATTTGATACGATGTATTATATAAAATTCACCAAGTTATTTTTACTAACTTTCTTACACTAAATGTATTCAAGAGGTTACTTCATTGACTTTAGACCAAGAATAGTTCAACTTGTTATTCATCCTAGGAACATTTTATTACACAAACAGAAAACACATGGTAGCTGTTTTATATGATATACTCTGTGTTATTATTTAAAATGAATTAGCACTTCAACCCATTTGATGAGTTCTGGCACCGGACAAAAGGCTTCCCGAGTAGTGACAATATCTCCCACAAATTATTAAAATAATTATGAGACAATTTCAATATCCTGCAGACAAGTTGTTTATATTCACAAATCTCGTATTCAAGATACACTCGTTTAAGCCAACTTTTTAACCCTCATACACACCTATTGGTTCCTCATATTGTAACAAACCATGCTGTATAGTATGCCAGTACATGGACAGTCAAACTTTAATTATTGGCCCTAAGACTAAGAGTTATATTCACATCAGTAAACCTTTTACTTATGTATTTAAATCTGTGATTTGTGATATTTGTAACCCTCTATACATTGATGAGAATGAGACAGGTCGCAAAGTTAGCGGGAGGTTTCCTGAACATAAAAGACATAATAAATTAAAATGTTGAACTCTCAGTACTAAAATACTTCTGCCACGACAAACACAACTTTTAACGTTGTAAAATAGTCGACCTGAAATCTGGACATTTTGGCCGCTGACTGCTTCATGTACACTTTAGGGACCCTCCCTTCATATGACTTAGAATTATTACAGAAACGGAAAAAAAAATTCTCATAAATTTCCTGGGCACGGCATGGCCAGGTGGTTAGAGTGCTCGACTTGCAATCTGTGGGTCGCGGGTTCAAATCACCAAACGTGCTCGCTTTTTCAGCGGTGGGGGCGTTATATTGGTACGATCAATCCCACTATTCGTTGGTAAAAGAGTAGTCCAAGAGTTGGCGGTGTGTGATAATGACTAGCTGCCTTCCCTCTAGTCTTACACTACCTAATTAGGGACGGCTAGCGCAGATAGCCCTCGTGTAGCTTTGCGCGAAATCCATAACAAACAAACAAATAAATTTCCTGCCCATAGTTTTTATTTATAACTTACTGTGTATTTATTTCTTTTTGGGAATTTAATAAACGTGTGGATTAATTATAAAAATCAGACTATCTTTCCACTCTTTTCGCAGCTGTATTTCTTCTTCAATAACGTTTTAAACAATCACAGCACGGCATATCTTGTTCTACGTTCGGTACACGTGTACATTATTTGTATTGATTAATATTATTCTAATATATTTTGTTAGTGATTGTGTAAACATCACCTGACGAAGAAAAGTTAAATTTCAAAACTTTAGTTACATCACAGTCAACATTAACAACTTTCTATGTTACAATTTGTTTTAACCAGTGACTTGTCAATACACACATCTGATTTGAAATCTGTACTGAAAAAAGCTGTCTAACGTGATTTTATCGCAAATATTAGGTTTATTGGTTTACTGTTCTTTCCCAGCTTTGTGTCCAAGCCCTAACGTAGCAAAATATGAAACTTTTCCGTTTAACAGTTGCTTTGAATACAATCTAAAATTACATCTCGTCAGAATGTGGAAGTTAATGAGAAACTGAATAATGAAATCAGAATGATAGCTGAAAATGTTGTTATTATGGGAGATTTTAATTTCCCGGGTATTGATTGTGAAAATTTCGAGTCTAACAGTGAGGGGGTAGGTTTTGGAAATCGTTCAGGATACTTTTATACACCAACTGGTAATAGAACCTACAAGAGAGGAAGCTCTATTAGATTTAATATTAGCATATGATGTGACTATGATAGACAGAGTTGTGATTGGTGAGCATTTAAGCACAAGCGACCATTGCATATTAGATTTGACATTTTACTACATGTAGAATTGAAGAAGAATAGTACCCTAATTCCAAATTTCAGGAAAGCAATTTTGGCGGAATGAGACATGATCTAGCTTCTGTAGATTGCACCAAAGAGTTGAAAGGGGACCTTGAACAGATGTGGGAAGTATTTAGGAAAAAATGGATGTGCATACATATTCCATACAGAAAAAATGGGCAATAGAACTGGAATAAGCCAGTATGGTTTAGTAAAGGTTTAAGATGTCATATTAGGGATAAACATAATAAATTCATGAAATTTAAACTTATTGGAAATAATAAGGACTTGGAAGACTATAGGAAATCAAGAGAGCTGGTTAAAAAGGAATTTAAAATGGCAAAACTGTATATGAAAGAGCGTTGGCTGAGAGAGTTAAATCAAATAATAAGGTATATGATGGGTAAGGAAAATGTTAGAATGGGGATTGGACTTCTTAAAAATGATAGTGAGGAGTTGATCTCAGAAGATTATGAGATGGTAAACTCGTTAAATTATGTGTTCTTTTCAGTTTTTACGAAGGAAGATACAAGTGTTATGCCTCAACCTGAACAGTTTATGTATAGGAAAAATATTGGTGTCAAATGTATCGTTTTAAGTTCTGAAATTCTAAGAGAAAAATTGGGAAACCAAAAATTTATAAATCGCTTGGAGTAGGCAACTTTTATCTTAGAATTTTTAAAGAAACTTAAAGTTTTTATTTGTGAATCGCTAGCTAATATTTTTTATAGGTCATTGAGTAGTAGAAGAGTTGGAAGTTGAATAATGTTATTCCAATATTTAAAGGAGGCAATAAACATTGTCCAGGCAATTATAGGCCAGTTAGTTTTACATCAGTACTTGGAAAGAGTATTGAGAGTGTAATTAAAAATGCATTGCAAAATCACTTAAAACAGTTTGATATAGTGTCAAAGAGCCAGCATGGTTCCACTAAGGGAAAGTCTTGTTTAACAAACCTGACATTATTTGAGGATATTACTGCAAGAGTTGATGAAAGAAATACTGTGGATTTGGTTTACCTTGATTTTCACAAAGCGTTTGATAAGGTGCCTCACAAAAGACTTGTTACAAAAATTAAATCTATGGGTGTGAAGGAAATGTTTTTAAATTAGATAGAAAATGGGCTGAAGAGTAGAAAGCAGAGAGTAGTAATAAATGGAGTTAGATCTGACTGAATCACTGTTACTCTGAAATGACTAACACAATTTTGAAGCTTGCAGATGACATTAAGATTTTTGGAGTAGCTAACTGTATCAAAGATGCTGCAGACTTACAGGGAGATTTAGATCATTTGATGCACTGGGCCAATACGTGGAAGATGATGTTTAACTATCTAAAATGTAAGGTGAGGCATATAGGTTTTTCACAATTTAAATGGGAATACATAACATATTGTGGTTGAAGAAAAATATCTTAGTGTTGTGATCGAAAAATCACTTAACTCATCTAAACAGTGTATTGTAGCTAGCAATAGGGCTAATAGAAATAGCATCTATAGAAATATTGATGGTTTTTTTTCACTATATAGATGACTTGTAAGGCTTCATATTGAGTACTGTGTACAGTTTTTGGCTCCCTTCCTCAAGTGGGACATTGAATTTTTGAAGAAGGTTCAGAGAAGA